TTATTTTTTAACTCTCTCACTCATATTTTTTTATTATTCAAAATCAAGAGCTTTTATTTTTACTTAAAATATATTACTATTAAATTATTTATGTGGTTAACTACTATTTCTAATCTATTATATGATTCAAATTCCAAACATAATTCAACATAAAAGATTTAAATTTTTATAATCAAGGGAACATCTCTTAGATGATGTCTTTACTTTTTTAACTTATCATATAATTCAAATATGAAACATAATTCAATATTAAAATTTTTAATTTTTAATCAACAAAATATCTTCTAGATAATATCTTTACTTCTCTTAATTTATTGTATGATTCAAATTCAAAACATAATTTAATATGAAGATTTATAATTTTTAATCAATGGAACATTTCCTAGATGATATCTTTAAGGCTTATTTCATTGACTAAGCATATTTACTACAGCTAGTTTCTGTAGTTAGTTTAGTTAATATCACTAATTCTAAGAGACAATTTTGAAAGACTACAAGAATTAAACATACAAATTTCCTAATGCATGTGCCAAAAAAATAGGGGTAAGATTTTGTGTAGCATCATATATTGTTTTCAGCCATGTTTGTGTCCCATCTCTAAGAAGCAGAATCTTATGCATTTGGGTCTTTCTCTACCTCTAACATCAACCGAGGGCTAAGGGCTTTAAAGCAACAGCTGAGTGGACCACGGCCAGGCCTTATCTTCTCATCGACCCAATGGACATATCAGAACGGCAAGATCATTGACCCTCACGGGGGGTTGATCAAGGGCGGTGATATTATAGAAATAATTTTTTTTATAAATTCTTTCTATACAATTTTTATATTAAATGAATGAATTACTTAATATTATAAGTTTTCAATAAATAAAAAAATTAAATTATTTAAATAATATATAAAATTATTTTAAAATTATTTTTTAAGTGATTAATTCTGTTTTATTTTATTTTTTTGCCTTTTTCTCTGGAAAGAGTGCAATTCTATCGAGTATATTGTACATTACCATGGTGTGGACTCTATGGAGGGCAAATGGGGACTCCAAGTTGGTACCTCAAGTTGGGTAGGGGTTAGGGGTGAATAATTCCATGTGTATCTTGTCGATAACATTTGGCTGCTCCCCTTGGGCATTAAGGGTGACTTTACCAACTTTAATAAATGCACCCTCAATTTCTTGGATTGGATTTCATTCCCCTCACCCCTAATTGTCATCTGTTCAACATAAAAAAAAGAAAAAAAAGAAATCTCATGAGTGTTTAGGAGGTTCCTTGACCAAGACAAGAGTCTATGGTAATCAGGCAGACCAGGCGACACAGGTAAGCAAGTTCCACAGCTAGACTCCCGACCCTACTCCATATTCCCACTACGAAAAAACACCTGTAAAGGGAAAAATCCAAACCAATGATTCATGAACTCGATTTTCTTCTTGGCGAAAAGATCCCACATTAAATTCTTGAATTTAACTTAAATTTTTTATTAAAGTAAGTAAATATTTAAATTTAATAATATAAACAATTTAATTCTCTTTTCTTACTATGAATTTAACGTTTGTTTGTAAATTACTTACATAAATAGGGTCAATACACATCACGTATGCAATTACATGTCAATATATTATCTACACAAGTAAGGTATAAATGAATGTTAAATTCATGATAAACAAAGATAGTTAAATTGATTAAATTACCAAGTGTAAAGGCTTATTTGTTAAACAAATCATTGATCTTATTTTGAATCCTAAAGACACAATAGAAAAACTAAATTCTTTTTTTTTTAAGGATAATTTATATATGAAAAAAACTAAAAATTAAGATACATTGGTATTTAAAATATCAAAACTCTTTATAACATTATTTAAATATCTTTAATGCATTAATATATAAGGGTATTTAAATAATTTTATAAGGAATCTTGACATTTTAATTGTTATGATGTCCAAATTTTTAGAAATCCTTTTATATAATACTAATACTTTATTAAATAAATAGATACATACAAATTTAAATGCTGTATCAAATACATCATATTTTACAAATCATTATTAGATAAAAAAAAAGCCAATAATATCCCAAGAGTTGTTATTTAGTTGGCTCCGAGATAGGCTCCGAGATAGGCTCCCCACTTTTTTCGCCAAGCTTAAATTTACTAAGGAGGTTGATAAGAAATTAATTCCATATGAATTTTCTAATTTAAGTGTGGATGTCTTGCCTTTTATTGGATTAGGAATTATTAGTTTTGAGATGTGTGAATGTTGATTCAATAAACCTTGACCACTATATACACATAAACCCAACAATGTTATGAGGATAATGTTTCTTTTTCCTTTTTTTTTTTTTTGACACTATAAAAAATAATGTTTTTATGATAATTTATATAATATAATATAATATAACATTAAACTAGTAAATACATAATAATTTACACGTGAGTTTTAAAATAATAAGAGTTAATTATAAAATTTCATGTAATCTTGCATAACCTAGTATTGTATACATAAATATTATAGTCCCCCTTTTTCTTTTTCTTTTTCTTTTTTTTTTTAACATGGGGAATTATGAGAGAAATGGGAGATTTTTTAAGTCATTAGTGGGAGTCGAACTCCCGACCAACAAAATTCAAGCACTAAAGTTTGGTGACAAACCATTAGACTTGAAAATTTGGTTATATTTTACTCTCTCTTTATGTTAAAAAAAAAAAAACTAATTCTATCAATTTCCAATTGTACAAGCTAAAGGAAGAAAAAGACTTTACCTTAATCAAAGATGGTGGACCTTATTGGATATTATTCTCATTAGGTGGATTCTCTTTCATTGCCTTGCTTTATATATATATATATATATATATATATGTATGTATGTATGTATATATATGTATGTATGTATAATTGTTCCTTATATTCCTTAATTAAGAATCTAAGGTTAATTAACCAATCCAATGCATTCTTTTCATGCCCTTAAATCAAGTTTAATTGAGTCCATAAAATAACTATAAAAGGGCATTTGATTTCTTAATTATCAGAGTTACCCTCACCCAACTTATATTTTTTTAACCAACAAAATCCACTTGTTAGTGACATTTTTGTCATTCTACTAAGGGATGGTCAATAGAATGGATGACTGCTGACTGGATCAGGGGGGAGGCCCGTGAGTGTAGAAAATGAAAGTTGGGTTGGGCCCCAGAAGTCAAAAGAGGCCGTTAAATCAGGCATTAGTTAGTAGTTACTGTAGGTGGGCCTCCATTTGTTTTATTCTTCGGCTCTTTCACTGATGCTCCGCGACCAAATCCCTCCCTTCTCATGTCCTCCTAGTATGAGATAATGAAATTGCTTTGTCGTCTTCGATGCAATAAACTAATCATTTTATTTTCAAACGTATTTTTGATAAAAATATTTACTACTACCTCTTTTTTTTATCTTAGGTAACGCACAATCACACATTGTGTAGTATGCTGATAGAAAAATTTACTAAAATTTTTAAAAATATTATCATGATTAAAATTTTATGTTTATTCTTATTAACATAAAAAGTTAAGTTAAATGTGTTTTTTTTTTTCTATAAAAAGGTAACTATTATTAGAAATAAAAATAAAAATAAAAATTATTTTTTTTAATATTAACCTTTCAATATCCGATAATCACATTACATCTCGATTAATTCAGAATTGAGTTTTGTTAAATCTCATTAAAAGAAGCTCTTTCGTCAATTTTTTCATCTATAAAACTCGAATTTAAAATTTTGTTTAAAAAAAACTGAACTTTTTTCATGAAAAACTAAACTTTTTTTCACTCACAAAAAAAATTAATATTTGTTTAAAAGTGATGTTAACATTACTTTATTTTAAAAAGTGTGATAAGTAATCAAAAATTAAAAATAAATCTATTTAAATTTTAGAATTTAAAAATAATAATTAAAAAATAATTAAAAAAAAAATCACGTAGTGTTCTTCTATCTTCCTTTAATGCACAAGGTCACGAGGCCTGTCATTTTAGGAAGAAGCTCCTGGCTAGACGACGCCGTTTTGGCAGTTAGCGTAGAGGTGAAAACGGGCCAGGCACCCGTGACACCGAGCACTCCAATTTTCGAGCATTTTACTGCGAAAAGTTGACCGCTACTCCGGCGATTCGATTGGTTTGCGTTTGCCCGCCCACAGGTTCATAATTCATATGCACTTGCGTGCAGCCTTTGTTCGTGATTCCGCTTGTCGTGGTGGTAAAATTGAAAAATATACAACAATCCAGTGGCAAATTCCAACCCACGCCACCTCACCCTCCACTCATCTCCATCCGCGTGTTTACCTGCTACCGCCTTTAACCACGCGGTGCTCCTCTCTTACACCCTCCCCGAATCAACCCTCTCTTGCAGTCCCAGGTAAAATCCGGAGTCATGGCGACTCAACCCACCGCCTCGTAACCGGAAACAACTGCTTCTTCCCCCCTACCAAATTCCCTGAATTTCAAGCTCAGTAAAATGTTTTTCCGCTTTTCCCTTCTGTTTCCTCTCTTTTTCCCCATCTACTCCTCTCATTCCTTCCCCAAAACCCTCGTCGGCGCCAACCACACCTCTGCCCGCTTCTGCTCTCGCTAGCCGCCCCCGGTTTTTCTGACTTGTTTAGGGATTCACGATTTTCTCTTCTCCCCTTTCCAAGAAACAAAACCAAATCAATTGTGATCGTCATAGAAACAGATTTTTGAAATCTAGAGGCATTGTTATTGTCATCCATGCAGCCTGCCATTGGGAAGCCGAGCTTCTTCCGGAACATTCTGGTGCGGCTGCTTTTATTCGGTGTTTTCATCATAGTCGTCCGATTCGCTTACATTGTCACTATAACCGGCGAGTCGTGCAATCGCGGCGACTTTTGTTTCTTCTCATTGCCGGAGAATCTGAACTTGGTAATCGCTAATGCTGGTCCCAGCGTTTCTGCTATCTTTGGGAGCGATGCTGTTTCTCGATCTAATAATCCTCGGCTCGATCTCTACACATCCAAAGATTGGATCAAGGCTGTCAATTACTACTCTTCCGTTTTTCAAGATCTGATATCTCAGGGTTACCTCTCACCGAATTCGAAGTCTCTCTGCGTGGAGACGCCCAGCGGGCAGGAGGTTTTCGCTTTGAAAGAGATAGGCGTGAAGAACTCGATCGGGATTTTCAAAAAAGCGTCGAAGCCCCTGGTGATTTCGGGGGAGGGGCATCGAATACCATTCGCTAACAATACCTTTGACTTCATATTCTCCGGCGGTGCTCGCCTTGACAAATCGGCTTGGCCGTCGGAGTTTGCTTTCGAAATCACAAGGACGCTGAAGCCCGAAGGGTTTCTGGTGGCCCATGTCAAAGCCAAAGATAAGTATAGCTTCAATTCTTTCCTTGATTTCTTTGATTCTTGCGAGTTAGTGAAAATGCGCCATATAGATGGTTTCGATTCTTCCCTGCCTTATATTAGGGAAATTGTGATGAAGAAAAAGGGTGAAATTCCTGAGCATGGGGATAACAATCCTGGTGGCGATTCTGATAATGAGTGCACCGTTCCGGAGCATAAACGAGACCTGATCCGGAATGCGGAGCCACTGATTACAGAGGAGCCTTTGAAGCCATGGATTACCTTGAAAAGGAACATTCAGAACATTAAGTACTTGCCATCAATGGTTGATATAAGTTTCAGGAGTAGATATGTTTATGTGGATGTTGGAGCTAGGAGCTATGGTTCTAGTATAGGGAGTTGGTTCAGGAAACAATACCCGAAACAGAATAGAACTTTTGGTATATACGCTATTGAGGCTGATAGAACTTTTCATGAAGAGTATGCACTGAAGAAGAAGGTTACATTACTGCCTTATGCAGCTTGGATAAGGAATGAGACACTGTCTTTTGAGGTGAATAGTGACCCGACCCATCCGGGGCTGGAAGATGTGAAGGATAAAGGTAGAGGCATGGGTAGGATTCAACCGAAGATGTCAACTGGATATGTGGTTGATGGAGAGGTGGATGAGATTCAGGGGTTTGATTTTGCAGAGTGGTTAAAGAATACAGTTACAGAGAAGGACTTTGTGGTGATGAAGATGGATGTTGAAGGAACAGAATTCGATTTGATTCCGAGGTTGTTTGAAACAGGAGCCATCTGTTTGATTGATGAGATCTTCCTTGAATGCCATTACAATAGATGGCAGAGGTGTTGCCCTGGTCAACGGAGTACAAAATATGAGAAAACTTATGGCCAGTGCTTGGACCTCTTTACTTCTCTCAGGGAAAGTGGAGTTCTCGTCCATCAATGGTGGTGACTGGTACCCATTATGCATATTCTGTAATTGTTGTTATTTATTTGTTCTTTAACTTCATAGGTTTTTTCTCTCACTCCAAAAATTTACATCCAAAAGTCTTGTAGGATAAATTTGTAGTTAACTTTCTTCATTTCTTGTATTCATTTTCCTTCTAATTGTAAGAGATGTTAAAAGTTGATAGTTGATACTCAATTCTTTGTTTCTCCATGGTTGATATTTTGATAATCCTTTCACGGTCTCCTTGAAACCCATCTGGTTCTGGTATATTTCTTAAAAGAGATTTTTATTTTGCGGTCCAAACTGCAAAAGATTAGTAAAATAAATGTATACAATCAATATATTCTAAAAAGATACACATAAAAAGAATAGAGAAAAGGAAAAATCAAGATATTTTAATTTGGGTAATGATTTTGAGATAATTTTTTTTTCACGTTTTGGAATAAATTTATGTGTAATTTAAATGATTGATTTTTTTATTCATGTAAGATGTATAATATTGAATGTATTCATTCATTTAATGATATATATAAAAATTGTACCAAAATATGATATAAAAATGTTATTTTTATAATACAAACATTAATTTATTCAATTATAACTACTAAATTTGTGGGGTATAAAAAAATAAAAAAAGGGAAAATTAAAATATTTTAACAATAAAAATATTAAAATATTTAATTATAATTACTAAATATGTAAGATATAATGTAATTGATAATTTTATCAAATTTAGACAATTATTAGATCTATTGATATTTGTAATAATAAGATATCTTATATAGTTTTGGAATAGAAAGTAGAAGCAAGGAGCGCGCCGTCTTTTATTGTTGAACCTCTGAACCGTTTGTTGCAAGGGAAAATGGTTAGCGAATGCCTGGTGGTCTTGTCCGTTTAATTAAATGGCTGTTTGTTTGTTTTTCTTAGGCTTGATATTTATAGAAATTATGACCCTCAATTCTCCTCCTTTGGCTCTCCATGCAGCTGTGAGCCCTCCTCTGGGTCACCCCCTCATCCCCCTCTCCATTTCCTGGCTTGATTTTCCCGGAACATCATCCGGGAATTCACAGCCTTTGCCTTTCCCCGTTTTTCATTTCTCCTTCTTCTCAACAATGGGGGCCTGTTGCAGCATAGATGCCAAATTTGGAACGTCAAGGGATGTAGAAGACGACCATGTGGAAGACAGGGATTACGACCGTGAGGAGGAGGATGATACTAGAATCGGCGATGGTGGGGCCATTATCAGGTTCCAGGGATCTACTTGGTTCACATCAATGTATACCCGTCAGGGCAGAAAAGGTGTCAACCAAGATTCCCTCACTATTTGGGAGGTATCAATAAATTTCAATTATGTATTTCCCTTTATGCATTACCCATTTGGATCATTCTGTTTGTATTATGATTTTCAGGGTTCTTTACATTGTTTAATCATACTGATTTTGTGTTTGCAATTTATTAGTTATTCAAGGGATCATAAATTAACAGTACAGTTCTTTTTGTGGCCAACAACCTTTTCCGCTGTTAGGCTACCTCTTTTGTTTTCAATTCTATAGTTTTGCATAATATCTGTCTGATATTATCAAAACTCATCCCGAATTTTATATATGCATATATTTTATTTATAGTATCTGACTGAATTATTGCATTTTTGAACAATTTGTTCCTATTTTCTCAAACATTAAGGATTAACTGGTTGATTCGTGGAACTAAACATTTTCAGCTTTGATGCAGAACTTCACCGGGGAGAAACAGATGTATTTTTGTGGTGTGTTTGATGGCCATGGTCCCTCTGGTCACAAGGTTGCGCGCCATGTACGTGACAATTTACCTTTGAAGATTTCTAGAATAATCAAGCATTCGAAATGCAGCAAATACAACAGTGCCGGAGAAAGTTATTCTGGTAATGGTAGTGGCACAAAAGAGAGTGAAGCTGATGATTATCGTCAAAATCCATTCTTTACATCCTGGGAGAACAATTTAACACAAGCGTTTGAAGAATTGGACGAAGAAATTTGCCTCGACAACTCTCTTGATAGTTTCTGCAGTGGTAGTACTGCTGTAACTGTCATTAAACAGGTAATATCGGTCATTCCATACTGAAATGAAGAAGTATAAGCATGGTTTGGCACCTACTATTGAGAGAATGGAACGGCAAGTTGTTGATTCTTCTTGAATTTCAGGGTGAGCATTTGATAATTGCCAACTTGGGGGATTCCCGTGCAATTCTTTGTACTAGAGGTGATAAAAGCCAACTTGTTCCCGTACAACTTACAGTTGATTTGAAGCCTAGTTTACCAAGTTAGTATTTTTACACTTCTATCAGCTAATGTCCTTAAATCCGACCTAATTCTGCAATTAATATTAACATTCTCCTTGTTTTACCATCCCTCCTTTAGGTGAGGCTGGCAGAATCCTAAATGCCGGGGGCAGGATTTTTGCAATGGATGAAGAACCAAGTGTGTTTAGAGTATGGATGCCAGAGGAAGACTGCCCTGGCCTAGCCATGGCCAGGGCTTTCGGTGATTTCTGCCTTAAGGATTTCGGCCTCATCTCCAATCCTGAGGTTTATTATCGAAAGATTACAAGAAAAGATGAATTTGTAGTTCTGGCAACAGATGGGGTAAGAAAGAAACACAATGTTTAATAATTGATCAAAGTTGCAATGTTGTGCTGATCAGCGTAACAAGTTGCCTAGTAAGACCAGCAAGGAAAACCTTAATATGCTGTTGTTTTTTCTTATAAATGTTGAATTTTTTGCAGATTTGGGATGTGTTGACGAACAATGATGTCATCAGGATAGTTGCTTCTGTAAAGAACCGAGGGATGGCAGCTAAAATTCTGGTGTATTACGCTGTCCGGGCGTGGAGAAGTAAGTATCCAGGATCCAAGGTAGATGATTGTGCAGTTGTAATCTTGTTCTTGAAGAAGCGACCATTGATAGCCAAATCCAAGTCTAGCTCGAGCCAGAGCGGTATAAGTCATCAGAGTCTGGATTCTTCAGTTCCTCTAGGCTCTGGAGACAAGAAGTGTGATGAAGGCGAGACAGTACTAGATTGCCAGATTGATCAAGAGAAGATTGATAAATTGAAAGCAAGTGGTGCTGCTCGGTTTGGCAGTTTGAGCAGGAGGAAAACAACCAAGGATTTGCAAAGTGATCAGATTCAATGATGATCTCCTTAATCTTTTTTTTTTTTCCTTAAATCTGATTTTTTTTTTCTGGGTCATTGAAAGAGATGCAGGTGCACATTGGTGGGGGGACAGAAAGAAATATACGATTCAATTCATTTTCTCTTTGGCTTTTGATTTGTAAAGTATAGCCTAAACTTAATGTTGAAGATCTGAACACGATATGAATGTGTTAATTAATTTCATCTGAACATAGCAGCATCTGGGTGATAAAGTTTTGTTCTGGCAACCGAAAATTTTTTCCCTGCTTTGTAAGATGATGCTCTATCCCCCAAATAGGGCTGTTGTACACAAAATGTTCAAGAGGCTACATAGGGAGAGGTTTTTGTAACATGAAGAACATATTTCCATTATACCAATTGTACACTGAAGGCAACATTTTTAGCACTGATGGAGCATACTAGCCCTTACAAAGTAGTCATTTATTTTATAAAAGAAAGCTACTAGTGGATAGGTTAATCTTCATGGTCCCATAGATCAGCAACACCTCTGAATGGTCCCATGTCCTTGTTCACAAATAGTTCCTCCATCAAGCACACGTTTCTGCCCCAGAAAACAAACAACAGTCATATTAGTTCTTTTACTTTGAAGAAACTGGGGAAGATTGATCAATTTACCTGATCAGGAATCTTGCATAGGGCTTGGAAGTCTTCCTCTGGGATTTCCCAACCAAAGACCATCAAGTTCTCTTTGATCCTATCAGGATTTCTTGATTTGGGTATCACACTGGTCCCTCTCTGGAGAGCCCATTTTACCAGAATCTGTCCTGGGCTCTTGTTCAACTTCTTTGCTATCAGTTCGACAGTCTGATCATGGATGAGATCTCTTCCTCCCTCCTGTGACCCTAGTGGTGAATATGCCAGGAGAAGAGAAATTCAATCCAAAGTTTTCAACATATGCCCTGCAAACAGATTATCTTAAAATAGTACTTTAGTTCATCTTACAGTAACATGGATTCCGTGCTTCTTGCATTCTTCCAGCATCTTATCATTTCTCCATCCTGGATTCATTTCCATTTGTGCCCAAAAACATTGATGTCTCAGAAATTCACATAGGTGTTGAAACTAGAAAGTAGAAAAAATGTGTAGATGTCTCTAGGATTCACCTGGCAAACAGAGGGCATTATTCGAAATTTCGAGCAATGTTCAATAGCTTATTGAGCTTTTTTAGAGAAAAATTGCAGATACCAATATCTCTAACAAGATTTTCCTTCACAAGATTCTCCATCTCTCTCCAAATCCCTTCCAAGTTGAACTCAAGTACATCTCCAGCTTTGGGAGGCCTGCTGGCTCCTTCTTTGAGTCCAAAGGGCCAGTGAATCTTCAATTAAGCCACAATTGGCCTCTTATTTTCTTGAATTTAGATACATAGCAATAGAATATACACTAAAACTGGGCTTAAATTTACCAGATAAAGATCAAGATAGTCAAGTTGAAGTTCTTGAAGGGTATTGTTCAAGGCTGTTCTAACCCGCCCAGGGAACAAATCCGCGCACCTATATTTACCATGAAAATCATAAACACAGAATACCCTTAACAAGATTTCCACTGGAGAATTTCAAAAAACATGTACACTAGATTATTAATTACCACAGCTTAGATGTTACAAAAAGATCCTTTCTCTCAATTCCTGCATGCATTGCCACCTTGAGCCCATGAACCCCACCTGAAATTCAACATCAGATAAACACGTAATGCATTTTCGTCTTAATACATATACAAAGTGGCGGATATAAATTTTAGAATAAGGAAAGAGACTTCTTCTTGAACTCCATAGTCCCACGCCGTATCTATGTGCTTGTAACCAGCCTACATACATGATCAAAATTTCAAAGCAGAAGTTAAAACCCAAATATGAGACTTAAGCAAATCCCAAACATATAGGACACAAAGAAAGAGCTAAGAATTAACCTCAACGATTGCAGTGTAGACAGAGTCGGATGCTCGAGACCCAGATTGCCAAGTGCCCAACCCAACAGCGGGAATGGTGTGGCCGCTCAACAGTCTGAACGACTCCATCTGATAGCCGTGCGGGTGAAAAGTTGCTTTGGCCATTCTTATTGCTTCTTGTTCTTCCTCCTTGGACAACGGATGCCCATTTCAGTGTCGAATTTAAGCCCTTTCAATATAGAAGTGGTCACTGTAATACTTGGCTTCCTGCATGTCAAACGCGTCCCCGACCCCGACAGTGGCGCCGTTGCGTGTCACGTGGCGGATCATTTCTTTGCGTCATTGACACGTGCTGCGTGACCTTTTTTTTTTTTGTGTTGGGCTTACTAGATGGGGATGGAAGCTTGTTGGATTGGACCGAATCCAATTGTGGTCTGTAGATTATTGCAGGTTAGTCTGAATAAAAATGAATTTAATTTTTTTCAAATAAAATCTTGAATTTAAATTTTAAAAATTAAAAAATAAAAATTGAAAAAACTTATGGAATTTGATGTAATTTTATTTTAAATTAGTTAAGGTCTAATTAGTTAAAACCTAATGTAGTTTCTAAATATTGAAAAATTTAAAAAAAAAAAGGGAGATTATTTCATACTTTTTAGTTGTACCTTGTAGGGTTAATTATTGGGAATAGTGACCTCGTTACTTGAAAGTTTCTTATTTGTTTAAGTATTATATTCAAATCGTAAAAAATTAAGTAAATAATGAATATGAAGATAACATACTCATAAATGTCAAGTTAAATAATAAATATAAGTGTTTAAAATTATTTATCTAATTTATTTAACCAACTTATTTAATTAACTTGTTAGCTATACTTATATAATTAAAATTACTTATACTTATTGTACTCTATATCTATATAATAATAATATTTTTTAAAATAAAAATAATAAAACACAAAAATAAACCTTAAACCAAAGAAATCACATATGTAACTATAGTAACTTAGATAAATAAGAAATCTTAAATCAAACACACAATACACATAACAATAATAACTAAAACAAGATCTCTTTTTTTTTTTTTTTAAAGTAAACTACATAAGAATATACTTACAAGTTACTTGTTATCTATTAAGTTGGCTACCGAGTATAGGTATTGGAATATTTAAGTAAATACCAAATCTAAAAAATTTTACCTAAAAATTTTTAAATCAACTACTAAAAATAACTCATACTTGGCTTATATCCGAAAATGCTTACCCTAGTGACTTCTAAGCCCCTCCTTTCTCTTGAGCCTCGCACATAAGTACCTAAAAAAAAAAACATGATATTAGAGAAAAATAAAATTGCAACATTTTAGAGTGACAATAATATTTGGTGTAAAGATAGCAACTTAGGGATCCTAGGCTGTCTACACTCCAACCAAAACCCATTGACCCAGGCTCTAGCTGGCTTTGTCATTTGCCATCCCTACTAGGGGTAAGCAAACTAGCAATAACATATCTGTTTTTAGGTATTATTTCTTAGGGAATGTGATAATTGCAATATTACTTAGAATTATAAATTTAAAATTACAATATAATATTAAATAAATGTAATTTATAAATAAATAAATATATAATATTATATATAAATCTTGACATGAAAAGAAAAAGTTTTATATATATTTTACTTGAAACCAGGTTAGATGCAATTCCTAAATTCATGTCCTTCCCCAGCAATTCATTTACATTACATTTCATTTCATTCGGAAGGTTTTTTTGACATAATATCTTCGTTCTTCCTCAAAATTTTCCTTCAAATCCAGGACATGCAATTATTGCCATTGGACTATTGGCATGATGGCACCAGGCTCTTCCCGTGCAAGAAGTGAGGGAGTTTTCAATGGAAGCAGTCTTTAAATGGGTCCAACACTCTGGCTCCTGTAAAGCTCTGTTTGTTTGTTTCCTTTTAGCAGAACCAGAGCTGCACAGCCTTTCTTGCCTCATCTCGGTCCCCAGACAAGTAACATTCTAAACCAAATTTTAAATATCATTCTTAATCTCTCCACAAACTCCCTCCAAAACCATTTGGTCCATACCTTATTACCCATTAGGAAAAATTGCTCCTCCCATGACTTTTCTGAACTCAAACACTGTCTTGCTTGGAGAACAAGATATATACGAAATCAAATAAAATAAACCTAAACAGAAGAAACAGAACTCAATAATTGTAAGGAAAATAGAAAAATCACCCGTGACCTATCTCTGGAATTTCCGTCTGCCATTTTCCACAATCATAAACCACACCAAACAAAGTCTCGTCATTATCTTACCCACCGCCTTGTTTCTTCTTTAGAAACCCCATACCACCCAATCAACACGGGCATATAAAGAAACTGCTCAAAATCAGGAAAAGATTTCAAGATTTCTGCAAAAACATCCCATTTGGAGAAGTAGACACATCAAGGAAATCAACACATGATACCATCAACAACAGCAAGCAGATCACTTTTTCAAAAGAAAACCATTTTTTCACAAAGGATGAAAGCTCTGTTTCAACCCTCAAGCTCAAATCTTTCTCCAGGAATGACAGAGAAAACACACTGTTTTCAAACAAAGTTAAACTATCTTCTTCTTCTATGTATTAAGCAATGTAAAGATGATAATACCACCATATTTATACATTACATTAGTAAAATCAGTACCATGTTCAGAAAATCAAAAAGAGGGTTCACAACCATTGATTAAAAGGAAACAAAATAAGTACTCTTAAGATCGATCCTATAATTAACCGTGAGGAAACTGCTACACAATGGTGGATTTTCGGACAACGTAGCGATAAGCAGCGACCCTTTTTCTCCGGGAGGCAGTGTTGTCAACGGAGAGCACCATCTTGCCGGCTTCTCGAGATGTGAAGGAGTTGTGGATGGCCTCGTCTGAGGGAGCCATTTTCCGAGACTTCTCCACGGCAATGGTGTAGCTGCCTTCTGCAATGGGGATGAATTCGGCGCTGTAGTCCAAGTCCCAGCCGCCGACCACCAGGTCCCATGTTATGGTCGCACCAGCCTAATCAATTGTAAAATCAAATTACCCACAAAAGAAATTTAGAAACTTTTTCAGGCTAAATAAAATTAAGGTGAACTAAGGTTTATAAAATGGACCTCAATGCCTTCAATTTGAATGTTCACTTTCTCTCCTCCCTTGACAGTGAACTCAGATGCTGGTTTTGGAGGTCCATTCTGCAAATCACTGGGTCGACTCAGTCCGCCGTACTGTACAGGAACATCTTCCGGCCTAATAAATCTGACAAGGAAAACAAAACTTTGTCCTCTGGGTAAAGGAAACAAGAGCCTAAAACTGGATAAAAATCAAAATAAACAGAGTAAAATGCAGCTGCTTCTATAGAAGGTGAAAAACAGGGGAAACAAGACATACTTGTAGAGTGTCTCTGCTGCATTTCCCTCTTTGGAGATGACAAATTTGCTCTTAGTTCTCTGGGTTAAAAACGGACTGAACATCGAATACAAGACACTGAAGTACCACGGAACATTGATGAAAATCTAAGAACCCAAAAACAGAGTGACATTAGTGAAAAGAATGAATGGAATGAAGATACCCATTTGATTGCTGAGAAATTCATTACCTTTCGAGCAACCATTTCAGGGTAATTGTCTTGAAAGAGTGAGAGGATCTGGTTTGAGGCGACTCTGAGCTCTCTTTTGGGCATGTCTTTGAGATCAGTAACCTGAATGAGGGAGTTAATCCCACCAGGCTTGAAATGGAGGAGGTTTATGCCTCGTTCCAGAATCTGAACCCTCCATCTCAGAAACTTCTTCAGCTTCTCCTCGTCTCCGAAGATTCTGTCGTACATATCTTTGTCTCTGAAAACCCCATAAGCATTGTAGCAAACAGGGTGCCCTTCTTTGTCATACCCTTGCATATAAGCCACCACTCCTTCCAACTCCTTAAACCCCAAGTCCTCCTCCGTGATGCCGTCGGCTCCGAACTCTTTCCTCCAAGCCAAACATTTCTCCAACATATGCAGCGAATCGAACACCCGGAAGTCCCTGGCGCGGAGGAACTTCAAGAGAATCACATCAGCTTTGTCACTTCCGCCGAGAAGAGGAATCCCCCACATGGTGCAGTCGTCGTCGGAGCCATTGGAAGCGGCGAGCTTTTCCTTGAGCTCCTGGAGTGCCTTCTTCTCGGAAGATTTCAAATGGGACAAAAAGTAAGTGTCTTCCTTGAAGGAAGGGGAGCGGAGAGTGGCGGCCTCCATTAAAGTAGAGACGAAGCTTTTCTTGTAGGGTTTTGGGGAAGCCTCCGGTGGGTCTAGGGGAGCGGGCTTCTGAGGGATGGAGATGGGAGACTGTGCTTTCTCCATGAAAAAAGGTATTATCTCGAGAAAAACACAAATAAAGAGAAAATGCAGGAACAGTGTGTGGTACCTCTGGTGCTTCTGTTGTTCTGAATTTGGAACAAATATAAGGAAGATGTTAAAAAGGAAGAAGAACCAGTTTAAGAAGGGACAAATAGATTACAAAAAATAAAAAATAAAAAGGACAAATAAATGGAAATTTTGAAGCGTGGAAACTGAAACGAGGAGCCGCGATTTTGATTTGAAAAATTTTGCAGTGTTTTGTGAGGGGAGTGATGTCACGCGCTTATGCCGAGGGGAGGGCAGCCTCGAGTTTGATTTCTATCAATCAATCAAAATTCCCAGAATGAGCCACGTTTCATGTCCCGCTTTTAATTTTGAGACAAAATTTTTTGTATATATTTTTAATATATTACTAAATAAATTAACATATACCAACAATCCGTTATTCCGTGACTTGATTTTAATTTTTAAGTTAATTCTGATGTAACGTGATTATCAAATTTTAATATATTAATAAAAAAAGTTAATATGTAATATTATAAATTTTAATTAAATAAAAAATAATTATTAAATAATACATAAAATTATATAAAAATTATATAAAAAGATTTTTTTATAATCATTTTTCTTTTTCTTAGCAGAATTATTATTTTTTTAATTTAGAATCAAAGTTATTTTCCTTTAATTTAAAATCTAAATTATCTTTGAGATAGTTTTTATTCACCTTAGTGTTAACCCTT